TGTTAAATTTTTAATCAAAACGTATCTGTTTATCCCCTCCAAAAATTGATGACCACAAATTTTGCCGAGTAAATCCTAGAATTATTTATTCCGGGTGAATGAATGAGGTAATTTATTTTATTGATTAAACCAAGTCACTCCACTTTCCCGAAAATTTGAGAATACAATGATGTTGTTATTATTAGTATTACACTGCACCTATGCAAATTGATATACATGTCCTTGCAAAAATGTTGATGACGTCATCACAAAATTTTGTGAAGGAAAAACTAATTTGAACTATACCCTAGTACGTTTCTTTATATTTACTTGAACATTACATACATATCTTTACTTTAACTTCTAGGGGTTGTCATAGGACAAAATAAAATTCGCAAAATAAAATTTTATAATTTTTCGAAAAAAATCTACATGTTTTATTGTTCTTCAGGGGCGAGGGAACTTTTGTCAAAACAAACTTCGAGCAATTTTTTTTAACTTTCCAAGCCGATGAATATTGGTGAATTTTATTTTTTACAGGCGTGCTCTTATTTAGTTAATACCTATAAGAAACGAGTGCTAAATTGACCAATTATGCACATACTTAAGTGAAAAGCGTGGATTTGATTTTCATATCAGGTACACGTGTATAATATTTTTACAACTGTTCATACAGAGAATTTAACTACTAATAAATGGCTCAATTAATGTATTGATTAACTAAAACATATTTATCTAATTTTCCCGTATTTCTAGACCACAGGCTTATAGGCATTCTGGCAGAAATGCAAGATAAACAAGATTTTAAAATTTGTTTACGAAACTGCAAATGTTTACTGTGATTCAGATGTGAGGGACGTTCTGTCTCAATAACTTTAGATGAATAAACTTATCAATAAATTGATTTTGTTTTAATTTTCCACCAAAGGGTTTCTCGATTCTCCTGGGACAATATTAAATCAAATTTAACTGAATTCACTATTTTCTAAAAAGGTACAAGAAACAAATATTATACACATCAATTTCTTCGATTTTGGAAAATCATTAATTCCACTGGCAAATAAATTTCACAATGAAACTAATAATGTAAACGTTCAGAGTTTAACGTGAGGGCGGCATGTCTGAGAAATTACCGAATGACATCTCTGCTGACGAAGAATGCGTGTGCTTTGCATATTTTCCCATACGAGCCCATAACAATGTATTTTGTAGCAGCTGACCGTGTATCGTTATACAGATAATTGCGGATTGCTTTGGTGAGTAAGCGATTCCTCGAAGCCAGCTTATCAAACACAACTTGTTTTTCGTTTGTTTTATACAGTCCCAGAATTAAAGAGCTTTAAATTTTAAATGGCTACATTGAAAAGGAAATTTTTCAGCTGAAAATTATTTTTAAATTATATTTATTAAATGAAATATATATTAAATGAAAGTAGGGTGCTTGAAAATATTGAGTTTTTTTTAATACTTGTGTAAAAAAATAGAGGAAGTTGTTTTTGCTGTTAATAATCAAATGTACATATTTTTTTATTAGGTACGAAGAACTTTAAATGGTATAAGAAAACACGGACTCTTTCCAGAATTACACTTATTTTGTGTTTTTTTTTTGTTTTCATATAGATTGACGTCACTAATTTATGGAGCACTGAATAAAAATACTTGCTGTTCATTGCTGTAAATGAAATTTGATGGAACTGATTTTGTCATTTACAAGGTATAAAAATAAAAAGATATAAAAATGAACAATATTTTTAAAATTTTGCAAAAAATTAAAAAAAATTATTTATTTCAATGTAAGTGTGAAATAATCATCATAAAGGACTACTTATTAATTGTTATTATTCTTCAATTTATCACTTTTTATTATCACCTTTAAAATCAAAATCATGTCCGCTATCACTTGATTCATTTCTATGTTTCTTTTCAACGAGAAAATAGTGTCCAAAACTGTCTGGTCGTCGTTAAATCAAAGTTGTTCATACCGATAGGACTGTGGGATCTGTGAGGTTCCCTACAACTTTATAATAGAAAATTGGGTCATTGTTGTCGTCCTTTGTTTCGTACAGAAATTCTTGGAATTTTGCAAATATAAAAATAATAATATTTATATGTGTGTACATATATGTAGCTTTTAGAATTATGCAATGAATGCTGAGACTGCTATTATTCTATATAAAAAAAATATTTTAACCAATTTTAGCATCGCAGTTGCATTTTTTCTCAAAAAAGTGCTAGTTTAATGCTCACCAGTAAAAGTTGAAAAGTTCAAATCGATTACATAATATGAAGTGATTTTTTTGAAACTAAGATGAAACCTACATATACTAATAGTAATAACCGACATTGTGTTTCATAATACAACGATTGTTACATTTTCTATGTATAAGTTTAAAAAGAGAAAATGTACTGTAAATAACATAAAGATAAATTATAATATAATTATAAATTAATTTCATGAATGTTTTGCATCTCTGTTAGGCATGGTATGGTTCGTGAGGTATAGCAGACAACTTTTGGTTAAATATTTTACCATCTAGACGATACCCTTAAATTATGTACATTAAACACTCATCACCACGAAACAAGGGCCACCCTTTATTATTATTTTTTTTTTTAGAAAAAGGTCCGAAGTTGAGCAAAATAAAATTTGATTTCTGCGAAATATTTAAATATTGTTTTGCAAAGTCTATTGTAATATTTTTATCCAAAAGAACGAAACAAAATATATTTGAATAAAAAACGATAAAAATTAATAACAATCAAACAAAGCTGAAAAAAATTGGTCGAAGGTTATTTCAGCAGAACTTCCCTCGCCATGAAGTATAACAAAACATAATCAGATTTTTCGAAAAATTATAAAATTTGATTAAAAAATTAAAATAAGGATATGTATGTAATGCTAAAATAAATGTAAAGAATCGTGCTACGCGTATATTTAAAATGAGTTTTTCCTTTATTAAATTTTGTGATTAATTTATTTTATTGATGAATTCATTAATTTTTTTGTCACCCTGTATAGAAATTCTATAAAACATGATGTAATGAAATGATAAATCACTAGAATAGATTCATCATATTTAGGCTTTATTCAGCAAAATTTTGAGATGACGTAATCAATGTTTTGGACGGGATGAATATATTTTGATTACAAATGTATCATGCTTACTATAACTTCAAAACGTCTGGCAGATTTCAAAGCAGTCGGTTTTGCAGTTTCTGATTTGATCAATAAAATAAATTAACTCATTCATTAATTTTTGGAGTCATCCTGTATCATCAGTTTTTAGGGGTGCGGTAAACGGATAAAGTTTAATAAACGTTTTATTAAGATTTCGATAACCCTAAAACGTTTACGAGGTTTCAGATCGTTTAGTTTCGCAATTTCACAGTTAACTGTAAAATGCTGTTATACAATTTTGATCTTTTTACAAAAATTTGGATGCTCAGTGTAAAAACAAGTGGAGCAATATGTTACTTCGTTAAATTTATATAACACTGGTGAGTGAGTCTACATATATATATAATTTCACAACAATCAGTCTAGTAGTTTCGAACATCATCGATGTAATAAAAACTTAAACCTACCACAAGCAGATGACAGACAGGCCGAAGCGGGAAGTATAAACAGAAGCAGATGCATTGGAATTGGATGTTTATTATATGTAGTATGTAAATCATAATACACTTAAAAATTTTAAACCTGTTATAGTTTCAGAAATGAAGTATAAGGTTAGGCGTTAGAGTTAATATTTCTAACAGAAATCAGAGAAAAACAATCAAAGCGACCAGAAATTTGCATGTTTTTCGGAAAAATATGCGATTAGATGTTTATCACACGAATTACAAATATTTTTTGTAGCTAGAGCAGATGTTTTTAAAAAGGCCAGTTTTTCTCAAAAAAAAAACAAGTTTTATTACCTTCACCTTAGAAATTTGCGCAAATTTTAACAAAATTCACAGCTTTTCATCCTTCATCAAAGTTTTAATACAGACTGAAGCTAGACTGGTTACGTGTTAATTAATAAATTGAAAACATGTTAATACAACATACTCTACCCTCTATGTAATGCATGTTGCATTACAGTTGCAAATTCATACCTAATCTTTGCTTTACTGCACCAACTAATTTTGCGTCTTCTAACGTAAAAATATTTCTCTGCCAATAAAAGAGAAGATATTGATTGTAGCATCCCGTTTGCGATTGTAAAATGGCATTTGCTGGATAATTAAAAAAGGGAATGTCATCGGTAGTACCGCCTCACATCAAGATCTCTTCTCTCAGTTTTGACTATTTTTATCATTTTGTATGAAACTATAACGTTTATCCCCACAATAGCGAAAACGCAATATATTTGTCGACGGATTCCGCCCATTGCGTTGACATTCTCTAGAAACTTTTTTAGACGATTTTTAATTATCATAGTAGCGGGTGTTCAATTGAAAGAGTCATCTAGTTGGTGTTGCTTGTTTGATAGAAGAAAATGTAGTGAAAAGCGCCAAGTTAGGTAATTCATACAATAGTATTGATATTTCCACGTGGTTAGCTATTAATTGTGAAGTTGATTGTAGACATACCATGATATTGAAAAAAAATCTAAAGCGTGTTTTGAAATTTATATAAAAATAAAATAGGTTGGCCGTATCATTATGTTTGTCTAACGTTGTTTAAATCTCTTGATTTGACGTATGTTTGATACGGAATGAGTTATCATTGACATTGATTTGCAAAATTTTAAAATATAAACATGACATCTCATATACGAAAACGTCAGCAATCCCCAATGATGCGGTGGAAATACAAATAATAAAAAGTATTCCAAAGTACGCTTAACAAGATTTTTTTCGGTCAAATGATACAAAAATCAAGGCCAACCTGATGACTTTTTCAGTTGAACACCCGATCCCTTTAAACTTGTATGTTTAATACGCATCTCGCTGACGGCAGCGTCGCGCCATTGAAACCGAATGATCGAGTCATATTATTTTCTCGCGGTTGTACTGACGAATGGTACGACCTATCCGGGGTGTCGTATCAGTTTGACTATATGTTTTCACCCAGAAAGAAATTTTAATTGTTTTTTTTTTGTTTGTTAATTTTTAATTAAACGAATCAAAAATTGTTGTGTTATAAAATGCTTCAGTGAGAAGTTTATTGTGAAAATATGGCAGAAGAAGGATCGAGTTGTAGTTTGTCAAATTCACAAGCAACAAGGTAGGTATAATTTCAACTAAATTACAAAAGTAGACCGCTAGTCCCAAGTGTTTGTGCAAATTACTGTAAGAGTTTACCTGTTTCTCAGTATTTTAAAGTTAACGAAACATGAAAATCCATTCCCATAGCAAAGCAAATGAGTATACATAGTTTAGTTTTTTCGATAAAATGGCTATTTACCGTAAATGTAGAACATTTACCACCATTATTTGTGGAAGAAATGACAGGCTCTTGTTTTAACAGCAACACCCAAGAATAAAATTAATTTAGAAGCTAAAAGAAATAGTTAACTGCTTCTTAAAACAAGAAGCTGTTTTTCTCTTACATCGATATGATGTTAAGAATCAAGGCTGTCTAATGGATAAGCACTTTCGTTCTACAGTTTAAATTAATTAATATAGGGAGTATATCGATGTGGCAAACGAGAATTTAATTTGAGTTTGAAATGTAACTTCAGAACCAGGCTACATACTTTTTTAATATTTCTAAAACAAAATTGGTCAAATGTTATTTGGACAGAACTTCCGTTGCACTTGAAGTTCAGCATTTTCGAAAAACTATAAAATTTGGTGTTGCAATTTTTTTTTATCTGAATCCCTTTAAGAATAAACATATGTATGTAATGTAAAAATACATGTAAAGAAGCGTGCTCCGCGTACATGTCTGAGTATTTACAAAATTTGTGATGACGTCATCAAATTTTTGCAACGACAAGTATATCAACTTGGATTGGTGCAGTGTAATACTAATAATAACAGTATTACATTCCCAACTTTTTTGAGAAAATGGAGTGAGCCGTTCCTGATTTAATCAATAAATTAAATTGACTCATTCATTAATTAATCTAAACCCTCTTTACAAGCAATTCTTACACGATCATAAGTACAAATTGATCATATTTTGCAGATTTTAGGTAGAATTTATTCGTCAAAATTTTGAGATATCGGCATTAATTTTTTGGGGGAAATAAGCTGATATATTTTGATTAACAAATTTACCATGCTTACAATACTTTTAACACGTCCGCAAGATTTCAAAGCACTCGGTTTTGCAGTTCCTGATTTAATCAATAAAATAAATTCACTCATTTTTTTTAGTCATACTGTATAAGCAAATAGAAATATAAAAATAGAAAACATGAATGGAATGATAAATCACAAGTACCTATAGATTCAACATATTTTACATATTGTAGTTAGGATTTATTCGGCAAAAAATTTGAGGCGACGTCATTCATATTTTTGGGGGATAAGCAGATATATTTTGATAAAAAATTTAGCGTGTTTATGATAGCTTTAAAGCATCTGCAAGAAATTCAAAGCATTTGGTTTTGCAGATTCAAATTGAAATTACACAACGTTGTATAATTTTGATTTTTTTGCAAAAATTTTGACGTTTCAGGTAAAAACTCAACACGGATTCATAAACTACATGTGTAGGACTATGTTTTTTATACAATTTTAAACCCATTTACAACGTACAATTTTGATTTGACGTCATCACATTATTGGCTGCGATGATTAGACAAAGTTTGTTTCACTTTTTACCAAATACGTGATATTCATAATACACATAAGTTGACAACAATCGGTCCAGTGGTTTCGGAGATCATTTGTCTAGCAAAAATTGTCACGAATGGTGGACAAACAGACACAGATAGACGGACAGACGAAAACGGAAGACCCATTTTTACTTCCCGATCGTAAGCAAAGGAAGTATTGTAATCGAGTCCATCGCACGAATAACCACTTTTTTTACAAATTCGTCACGTACTTTGTAAGATAAATTATAATTTTTTTTAGTAAAAATTTAATTTTATTAAATTAATATATTTTTTTTAAATGGAACACTCGACATATTTTTATTTTCCGAGCTAAGCTAAGGAGTACTGTAATCAAGTCCATCGCGACTCGCTACTTTTATGTTTTCTCGGCGTTCATGAGTTCATGACACTTAGAATATGGAAACATAAGTCTCTCTTCCGTCTGTCTATGCCATCTGTCCGCGTCTATGTCGATTTTTGTTAGACAGATAAATTGCTAAACTACCGGACCGATTATTTTCAAATTTTGAATGCATATTAGGCATATTGTGTGGTTGATAAAAGGCTGACGAAAATTTGCTGATTATCCTCACCACAATGCGATGACGTGATCCTAACAATTTACAATATTGAATTTTTTTTAAATTTTATAAAATTGCTTACTCTTCCACTTGTAGATTGTGAATCCGTGTTGAGTTTTTATCTTAAGCATCAAGAGAAAAAAAATCTAAATTTTATAACAAACACTTTATAATTTAACTTTGAAATTGCAAAACCGAATGTTCTGAAACCTTGTAAACGTTTTAAGGTTATTGGAAACATTGTTAATCAAAATTTATCACTTTGCGACCTTCCTAAAAACTGATGACAGTGACGACGTCATCTCAAAATTTTGACAAATGAATTCTAAAATGTGCAAAATTGATGGGTCTGTACATTATCACTCAATTTATATTTTTGTTAAAATTCCTTACACATGGTGACTCAAAGGAATTAATGAATGAGTCAGTTTATTTTATTGATCAAATCGGAAACTGCAAAACCGTTTAAAGTTATCCTAAGCATGGCAAATTTGTAATCAAAATGGATCTGTTTATCCCTTCCAAAAAAATTGATACATTCTGAAAATGTGGAAAATGTGATGAGCCTAGATCTGTGATTCATTTTTACATTAATATTTTTTAAAATAGCTTATATAGGGTAGTTCAAAAAAATGAGTAATAAAAATAATGAAAGAGTCAATTTATTTTATTAATTAAATCAGAAACGGTTTACTCCATTTTACCGAAATTTTGGGAATACAATAATGTTGTTTTTGATCTATACAAACAGAACACGTGTCCTTGCAAAAATGTTGATGACGTCATCACAAAAGTTTGTGAAGCAAAAACTGATTTGAAACATACGCGTAGGACGCTTCTTTACGTTTATTTTAACATTACATACATACCTTTATTTTATTTTTTAGCGGTTTTCATTTTAGAAATCTTTTTTTTTTACTACAAAAAATCAAGTAGAACTACTATTCTAAAACCAATAATTAAAAAGTTATTTAGTAAAATAAGTCAAAAACTATCTATTTAATTCAAATCTACTTGCTTGAAAAATAAGTGTCTCATAAAGATTGTTCTTTTTTTTTAATTTAATGAAACTAAGCAAATGAAAAACATGGTTGTTAATTTTTCAGGCTACTGGGTTTTCATAAGGAAATATAATTTTTCTTCTATTTCATTGAATAACTTTTTTATTATTAATTTTAGTATATTGGTTACTTTTGATTCTGTATGGTAAATATGCAAAGGATTCGTTTATTAAAAAATACACTGGGTACATTTAATAATATGACGTTGATGTCATTTCCGGTCTTACCAGAAGCGAAAATTAAAGACTGTTACAATGAAATTAATCTTCTAGTATGACACAAATTTGCCCAAACAACAAAGTACCTATCTTCAGAAATAAAAAAGTTGTAGGAGTTGTATCAAATAAAAAAGGCAACTCAAAAGTAATCAGTTTTTGGAAGAAATCTACTACCCATATTTTTATTACATTTTGCTATTAGGCTGTTTATATGAACAACTTCGTAACTATTTTTACTTTAATTAAAAGAAGAAATATATCGAGTGGGTTAGAGTGTCAAACTAAAATATTAATCATACTTTAGATAACAACTAATTTACTGTCCAAATTTTTTGGACTAATTTTGAGAAACCTATACATTTGAACTGTAGTTACAATTTGTTGTAGAACTGCAGTGGATGAGCATCAAGATGAAGATGAAAATCGCGACGATGCCATTGGTGGTAAGAGTTTGAATAATCTATTTCGTAATTTTAAACTATTATATTTAAAAGGGAGAATATACAAAGATTGAGTAACGAAGCGCGCGTTTCTTGGTATCTCATTAATAACTTAAATAGTATACACAACTTGTTTTTTTTTTTTTTAATAGAACATCTTCCACATTTTGCGTATTCTTATTAGGCTTTCGTAGACTTTAAAGTTATAGTTTGTTAGGTTTTTAGGTATATCGATTATTTGGTAAAACTCAAACCAAAATTTAATCATCTCCTTTGCAAAATTAAAAAAATTATTTTACATGATACATTTAGCTTTCATGCTGATTTAACTGATTGTTTCAAATACAGTGTTTTAAATAATTTTAGAGCTACTTACAAAATATGTTCAATTCGTTCAATTCATTTGATTAATTTTCAAACTGGAATAGTATTGATTAAAAAAACGATTTGCGTAGTCTTTATGACAGTCCAATTCAATTGTTTTCACATGTTCACACAAAACTTCATCTCAATCAGTATCTAATAAAGACACATAAAATATAAACACATATAAAAATTGTTGGGGTACTCTTAATGATTATCCCATTATCAAATCTGAAAAAGTATCGTCATTTAGCGCGACATTCTGAAGTACACAAACAATTTTTTGCTACAAAGCATTCCTGGAGAAAAACTTCATTTTATTTTTTAGTTAATGTAACTTTACATAATTTATTGTTACTAAGTTACAACACTCTAAACCTAAAATTAATCTCGCAATTAAAGTCCACGTAGAAGTTGTAGTGCCAAAGAAGTTAAACAGTTTAGAATTATGTAACTAACTTCGTTTGAAAAACTAAGCTTGTTAAATTTATTGCTAAAGTACAATGTGCTTCTTTTTTAATGATAAATAGTTAGGCATAAAAAAAACTGACAAAGTATATATATTTGTTTTATATTAACACTCTTTAAAACTTTTAGAAAGAAGTAGTCAAGCTAAAAAGAATTATTGTCTATATTGCAAGCGATTTCTGTCAAAAATTACACCGCACTTGGAACGAAAACATAAGGATGAAGCAGATGTAAAACAATTTATGATTTTACCAAAAGGTAAAACTGACCGTACAGCAAAGTTTTTCAGATAAGATTTTTCACCTTTTTTTAGGCTGCAAAGAGAGAAAACGGATCATTGACACTATTAGAAAAATGGGCAATTTCTCTTATAATCAAACTCAAAAAAGCACTGGTATAATTGTATGCCGAAGGAAAAAAAATTTAGAAATTTCAAAACGAATTTACAGTGTTTGTCCTAATTGTAAAGGCTACTTTGTGACTTCAGCAATAAGAAAACACTTCAAAAATTGTGCTGGTAAAAACGATAAAAAAAAAGGCATTTTGGTAATGAGTCGCAAACTGGACATTGATGTTCATCAAAAAGCATCGGACATTCTCAAATACAAAGTTTTACCTGTTATGAGACTAGATAGCGTATGCACTGTTGTTCGCAACGATGCATTTTTAATAACATATGGAAACAAGTTATGCTCCAAGTATAGATCACCCCACATGTATAAAATGATAAGAACAAGATTGAGGCTATTGGGAACATTTTTTTTAGAAATGAATAAACTGCAAAATAATATTCAGTGTTTCGCCGATATATTTGATCCTATTTATTACGAGCATACTGTGAAAGCCATAAATACGATAGCAAGATTAGATGCAGAAAGTGGTAAATACGGAGCCCCTTCCACCGCGTTCAATTTGGGTATTTTAATTAAACACTGTGCAACTTTATACATTGCTCAATGTATCCAAAACAGCTGTTGGGAAAAGAAAACAAATGCTGAAAATTATTTAAAAGTATTGACTGAAGACATTGGAATTTCTGTTAATAAAACAGTCATAGAAAACCAAAAAGAGTTCAAAAGAAAGAAAAAAATATTATTACCCCAAAACAATGACATTAAAATATTGTCGTCTTTTTTAACCAAAAATAGAAGAAATCATTATAATAATTTAAAAAATGTGGGCTTTAAATACGACGACTGGTTAAATTTAGCGTCCTACACGCTAATTTCACTACAGTTGTTCAACAGGCGTAGGGCAGGGGAAATTGAAAGAGTGCTGATAACCGATTTTTTAAATTTTCAATCCGTTGATGAGGTACAAGATAAAGAAATATATGATGCTTTGTCGGAAGAATCCAAAACAGTAGCCAAGAAGTATGTAAGATTTGAGGCCCGCGGTAAGTTGGGAAGGGGAGTCCCAGTTTTAATCCATCGAGAGTTGTTGCAAAGCATTGAATATATTTTAAATAACCGAAAAAAAGCAGGCGTGATGGAAAAAAATCCATATCTATTTGGTATTCCTGGCAATGAAAGCACTCATTTAAGCGCTTGCCAGTTAATGAGAAAATTTTCTCAAGCTTGCGGAGCCAAAAATCCAACACTATTGCGTGGTACAACGCTTAGAAAACACATTGCCACTCGATCCGCTACAATGAATTTACAAGAAAGTGATGTCTCCGACTTGGCTAATTTTATGGGCCATGCAGAAAAAATTCATAGAGAACACTATAAACTACCCATCGTTACAAGAGAAATTACCAAAATGGCACAAATATTGGAAAAAGCTGAGGGCAAAACTGCCAAAGACAATGAAAAACTAGGTTCAAAAGGTAAGGAACCACATTTCTCGTTAAAATAACTTTGGATGACTTATGACTTCAGATACGCCGAACTGTGTTGTACTATTAGAAAAATTACAGCAGGAAAATATTTTTTCAGAGAAAGATACAGGTAATCTTCTTGATCGATTGGAAACAGGTAAATTTAGACTGTTTAAAAGCGAAGAATATTTTCAATAGGTATTATATTTCAGATGATGATAAACTTCATGCAGTCTTGCCAGACCAGCCCCAACCTGGTAAATTTACAAAGTGGATAAAAATAATTATACGATGTTTTATAATTTCAGGTTGCAGCAAATATTACATATCAGACGAAGAAGATGACTCTGTTGTGGTTCAGAGCAGGACAAACGGTTTGTTGTTTGTATGTTTTGTAACACTTTACTTTGTTGTAATTTATTTAGCTGGTCGAGGAGGAATAAAAGCGAGAAAATCTAAAACAACTCGAAAGATTGATTCAACACCTACAAAAAAACCACACGGTAAGTTTTGAAATTAAATGCGCTAAAGTGTTCATCGTTAATGATTAATTGCAGTCAGAATCGCTTGGGTTACGCCAGAAAGACATGCTGTAAAATCAGCTTTTCAAACACATATCGATCAAGGAACACTACCGTCTTTTCAAGAGTGCCGAGAAGCACAAATGAAGTTTCCAGTCTTGCAGCGTAGAAACTTGGCCACCATTAAAACCAAAATTAGTAATGAGATTCGACGCCGGAAACTACGATTTCAATAGCCACAAGAAGAGGAACTTCCAGTTTTGAAGTTATCAGTTATCAAATTCTATTATCAGTGATAATTTCTTATTGTTTGTTATAGTCAGTTTAATAAATTCTCATATTTTTATAATAAATTTTCGTTTTAATGTTTTATATTTTAAATCAAAAAGAAATAAACGATTTTCAGATTCAAAACAATATTCGTTTAAAGAAGAAAACAGATTCTTTAACAGACACCTTGTTAATCAGTGTTATTACGATTACCTTTGAGGTGGTTAGTGTCCTGCGCCATTTCACTGCTTTTATTTAAGTACAGTGTGATATGGTCCTTTATTTCTGGTTTCATGATGTACCCACACTTTTAACGATTCGATTTTTACAAATACGTAAAGTTCATAAACCAAATTTTACAGTTTGTCTAATGATCTGAGAAAAGATTTTTTTTGGTGTAGGCTAAACATTGTATTACTATTTACAGAACAATGACTATTAAAGAAATAATTTTTAATATTATTTTATCAGGAAAAGCACTTCCACAGTTTTGATATGGTGACCATTGGCTTTAAGGCCAACATCTAATCGGAATTATGGAATTTCGGGGAGTTCCCCAAATTTCCATAATTTCGATTGTGACATTTGGGAATATCAACTATTATTTACAAGTTATGTGCAGTACCGTTGCTGCTGAACACTAGGCAGTGTTTCATCGTCTGAAAGTTTGTACTGATACTTTTGAGATTTTTATTTGTGAACAGTTTTCCTTAACAAAACTTCAGTGGTATAGATATGAATATGATAGCCGTCACTGTACGAAGATGTTTTGATAATAGATAATTATTTTATGAAAAGTTTAAGTGATACTTTATGTGAAGGAGTATGGATAATTAAAAGCTGAGCGATAGCGAGGCGAATTAAGTCGATACGGGCTAAAATAGTATTGTTGGTTGTCTATATAATTTTGAGTTAATAACGATAAGCAAAGATAAGAAACTTGTAATTGCATGTAATATTATTATCCCAAGACCTAAGACAAAATAAGAATCAAATCAACACACAAAAATTTATTAGAAGTACGCTTGGAGTAAGAATGTAACACGACGAACAAAGAAACAAGTATATAAGACAATAGTAAGACCTACAGTCCTGTACGCTAGTGAAACATGGACGCTAATGAACGAAAATGAACAGAAGTTGGAAGTATGGGAACGCAAAATACTACGAAAGATATATGGAGGTATAAAAAACTAGACCAATGGAGAAGGAGAACAAACCGAGAGATCGAGGAAATATACGGAGAACCAACAATCACGAAGATAATCAGAGCACGGAGACTAAGATGGCTAGGCCACGTCGGAAGAGCACCAGAGGAAAGGACAATTGGGAAAGTATTAGACCGCCTAAAAGGAGGAAAGAAAAAGAGAGGAAGGCCAAAACTGAAGTGGATAGACGATGTTCGAAAAGATCTTCAAAACTTAGGCATTGAAGATTGGAGATCCAAAGCAGCCGACAGGAACAAATGGAAAATTATTGTTAAAAAAGCCCAGGGCCTTTAAGGCCTGCAGAGCTGAATTATATATATACGCTTGGAGATAATTGTGTTTTCAAATAACACACATAGTGCTGACAATAATTTAAAACTAGTATTTGGTCATAGCTCCGTTTTAGGCAATCACTTGACCTAGTCTATATAGCATTGAGTGTATTAAATTTCGAATATCATATTCACTGATTTCCCCCAACAAGTTTGAATTCGTTAAGATAATTATCAACAGTTTGTGGTCTAAATATGTTGTAGCTATCTGGCGGAATCAAAACAATTTGCTCTTAAATGATTTAAACGGGCAGTATCTTCTTGTAGCTCTGCCTGAACTAACTTTTCGTTATAATGATTGGTCCTGTTCCCAGCATTTATTAATTCTTAAAACTACACTTTTGTTTAAATTTTAATTACCGTAGCAACTCAAATTAACCAACCATCTTCCAATGTGAACATTTTTGAGGAGAATCAAATGCTAAGGCATACTTGCAAACTGTAACTGATTATGATGATATCATCGACTAATTCATATTAGAAGGGTTTGTCATTAAATTGTCATTGACAAGAACATTTACAATGCTCTAAATATGTTGTACGCTTTTTCATTGATTAGAACTCTACTTTCAAGAAAAGAAATAAAAATAATAAAAATAAAAGAATTTATCCAAACAAGTTTACGTTGCTCGTCTTCTCCTTCTCTTGCCTCGTCTCGTCTTTTTCTTCTGGTCTGCATTTATTCCTGTGTCTCGTGCTTGCTCACTGCTTTCCCGTGTTTCGTTTCGTTTTTGGCTTTGTTGGCAAAACTTAAAAACCATATAACTATAGTCATGGGTTGCTAATTCTCAGACTTTTATCCCCACTTTTACCTAAAGATTTAACTGTTGATTTAAGACTATAAAATAGCTTGATACTGGTTTATAATGCGGGATTCGTGAAATTTTTTACTTGTTACATAAGTCTATTTTTATTAAATGGTTGTCCCTATTCTTTTGTAGAAATTGCTCTTTTTTTAATTGTTTTTGAAAGAAATATAACTCAGCCGAGCCTCCCTTCTCAATACATCGACGTTACGCCACTGCTAGCCCGACTACGAGCCGCATAACTTATACCCCGCCCCTGTCACCTTTCGTGGTGAAATTACTTCTACAAACTTACAATAAAAAAATTAAAATCCCTATTCAGATCAATATAGTGACATTCGTGGAAGTGTCTAAAAAGCCTCGACCGGTATTTCATTATTCGTATTCGGGTGGGTGTCTTCTTTTCTTAAAATCCTTTCTGTTCATTATGGCCGTACGCCAATTCTACCTGTTCATTGACACACTGTCTCATTCTCTTCATCTCTTTCTCCATTTACAACGCCTCCATCAATCAAGTAATTTAAGCACAAAATTAAATAGTCTTATCAAAAGGGTGTTTAGGACATATTGAGAGAGTGTAGTAGACAGGGTAGAGATTAGGGATAAGAGGTAATTTTTCAACAGTTAATTTGTAATGCTCAAAAATTCTTAGCTCAGAATAATATAAAGCGAGTTCTTTTATATTGTAGGCCGCCCATCCGGGTTTGGCTGATGAAGGATTAGCAACCTGAAACCGATACCAATAAAATAAATAAGCAATAGTGGACAGAAATTGTTTCTTTTATTTAAAATGAAATTAAAATTTAACTCGAAAAAATAAGATTCGGCTGTATGGGTATAAAAAAAAAGGTCGAAGGTTACTTTGACAGAACTTTCCTCACCCCTGAAATATAATAAAACAACTCCAGGTCTTTTGAAAAATTATAAAATTTGATTATGCGAATTTTATTTTTTTATGAGAACTCATAAGTTAAAATAAAGATATGTATGTAACGTTAAATTAAATGTGAAGAAGCGTGCTGGGCGTACGTTTCAAATGAGTTTTCCCTTAACAAAATTTTGTGATGAGATCATTAACATTTTTGCAAAAACCCGTAAATCCACTTTGGATAGGTGCAGTGTAACAGTATTGTATTCCCAAATTTTCGGGAAAACAAAGTGAGCCGAGTCCAATTTAATCAATAAAATAAATTGACCCTTTCATTAATTTTTATAAGTCACCCTGTATAAGAAATTTAAAAACTTAATGCACTGATAAATCACAGGCATATACCCATCACATTTTGCACATTTCGGATAGGATCTATTCAGCAAAATTTTGGGAGGGGATAAACGAATAAATTTTGCTTGACGATTTAGCATGATTACGATAACCCTAAAATATTTACAAAATTGAAGAGTTCGGTTTTGCAGTTTCAAAGTTATATTACAAAATATTGTTATCCAGTTTTCCAAAAATTCTGAATGTCTAAGGTGAGAATTCGACATGGATTCACACAGCATAAGTGCAGGAGTATCTTATTTTATAAATTAAAAAATATATATAAATTTAGGAGATGACGTCATCCCATTGGTGGAGGGGACGATCAGCCAAATTTTTCTTAGTACTTCAACCATCTACATGATATTCCTAATACACATACAAAATTTGATAACAATCGGTTTAGTAGTTTCGGAGATTACGTAAAATATATATATAAAAAATAAAATTCGCATAATCGAATTTTTTAATTTTTCGAAAGAGCTGGACTTGTTTTATTATATTTCAGGGGTGAGGGAAGTTCTGTTGAAGTAACCTTACCAATTTTTTCAAAACATATTTACACAGTCATATTTACCATATTTAAAATTGTACCATTGAAGTTTCGTTAAGGAAAACCGTTGTTCACAATTAAAAATCTCAAAAGTATCATTACAAGCTACCAGACGACGAGGCACTACCTAGTGTACAGCAGCAGAAGTACTGCACATGTTATATGGATTAAAAGTGGTGGCGCCAGTTGTCGATAATAGTTGATATTCCCAAAAGTCGCAATCGGAATTATGGAAATTTGGGGAACTCCCCGAAATTCCAATTTGATTCCCAAAAGTAACGTTACACGGTGTTTAGGTTCCCAATATTACCATTCGGCATACATATATATATACATATAATATAATATAATGTTTAAATATGATAAGCATCAATATACGATAATTAAACCGAAACTCGTTTTCCTACAAACCCGAAATTATTAAAAACAAATCAATTTGTTTAAACAATGTTAAATTACCCCCGAAAATGTGCATTTTCCCGGCCAAAATATGAAAAATAATTTTTGCAGTCTCATGGTGACGTACGATGACGTCAATGTCACGTGAGCTACCTGTATAAAGGTCACGTTTTACGGTCCTTTGTGTTCAGTATTAATTTCTGTTTGATGGCGGCAAGATCGTCGCGTCATTTTGGCGTAAAAGTGGAGCGTTAAGGAAAATTTGTTGTGTTAGTGCTGTGAACACGGACGAAAATGAATATTTTTCCGAAAAAGACCGAAAACAGGGTAAGTACGACTTCAGTTTTAATTTATCGGATTCCCTGATTCGTTTGGTCGACAATGTTTACATTTTGGATAAATTTTCGAAACGATTGAA